TGCACTGGAGGTAGTGACCTAGCTGTGTGCCCAGCACCTCGCCTTATTGCTCAGAACTGTCAGGTTCTCATCTCATCTTTCTCCAGAGTGGCTGTGAAACCTCAAGGCTGTTTGTTTGTTTTGAAGGGGGGGGCGGGGGGGGGGGAGGACAGCAGATAAGACATTGTGGTCTTTGTGTACCAAATGGGATAGGTATGGCAAGTGATAGCCTAGCAAGCACAGGTCATGAGTTCAAACCCCAGTACTATGGGAGGAAAGCCAAGTGGGGTGGTGAGGAAGGTGTTCAGTACATTTATCTCATTGCCTCAGCTTGAGTTGGGTGAAGGTTCTAGGAGACAGGTTTCGTTCTGTCCCACACAGGATTCACGCATAGGGACCTGGTACCTAGTGTCCCCAAGTATTTGACCTTCAGTCAGGCAGGCGGGTGACCACAGAGAAGAATTCAGAGATAGTGCCTTTGGTCTGCAGGATTTGTGGATTGGTGTTGGTTTGTTTTTCCCAGTACCAGGGCTTGAATTCAGGGCCTGGGAAGTGTCTCTTAGGTTTCTCACTCAAGGCTAGTCCTCTACCACTTCTGGCTAGTACAGTGCCACTTTTTTGGGGAGGGTGGGGGGAAGTTGTTCATTGGAGATGAGTCTCACAGACTTTCTTGCTGACCTCAAATTACAAACCTCAGATCTCAGCCTCCAGAGTATTTAGATTTATAGGCATAAGCCACCAGGGCTCACTTCTGAACAGCCTTGCTAGACTCTGGGATGACCAACAGGTTTCCTCTCTTGCTCTCTGAATTCACCTGCTTGCCTTAAGCTGTCACTAAATTCAAATTGATGAGGGAGACTCAAGGCCACACTTGAAGGTGTCAGGAGCATCTGCAGATGTGTTGGGTGGGCACAGTGCTGCTTCTCCATCCCAACTTGGGAATGTCCAGCAGGCTCCAGGTCTTTGCTGGGTGTTCAGTTTCTGGCGGATGGGTCATTGTGTCCTGGCACTGGCCTTACTCTAGGAAGCTGGTCCTTGGTGGTGGTAGTTCTAGTTTCTGCCCCATGAAACTCCAACCCAGTTGTGCGGCTGGCTGGTGGAGACCCTCTCCCTTTCACAGAGGCAGTGCTGTCCTGGCTCCCAGAAACAGGGCCTGCTGTCCCCCCGTGGGCCAGAAAGTGCATAGGTGTGGTTAGAGAAGACTGGATTGTGTTCTTCCTCCTCCTGCTTTTTAAATGACTTGCCATCTGAAAGCATTTCTCCCCTAGTATAGCTGCTGGCCTGGCTCGCTGCCCCTCACCAACTGTCCATTTTCAGGCTTAACCAGAAACAAGCTGGGCACAGTGGTCCACCCCTGCTGGGAGATGGAGGCAGGAGGGTCACTTGAGCTTAGCAGTTCATAGCCAGGACCACACAGTGAGCTTAAAACAGGTTTGGGGTTTGTTTTTTTAAAAGAAGCTTTTTGTCAGCAGGGGGTGTGATGCCATGACCTGGGTGGCAGAGCAGGAATCAGAAGTTGAAAGATCAGCATCCCACCTCTTCAGATCCCAGGGGTGCTTCCTGGCCTCTGGCTCACCCATCAGCCTCGGTCATCTGTCCTGCAGTGTCTGTCATTTAGATTCCCTGCTGCCAGTGGCTTTTGCCTCTTGAGGGCCTTACTGTTCCTGTGGGCAACCACTCCATTATGGAAGTAGAATGGAGACAAGGTGGGGCTCTATGTGTGATGAAGGGTTGGAGTGGTGACCAGGTGATCAGGACGAGGTAGAAGTGGAACCAAGGACATGGCTCCCATTGGGGAGTTAATCTGTCATTCCTCACACCTGGCTTGAGCTCCTTCTAGTGGTGGCAGTCATAGGAGAGGGAAGGAGGCAGCCTTAGACTATTTCTTAGGGCAACTGGTTCTATCAAACCAGAGAGCTGAGTCCTGGGGAGGCAATCTGATGGGAAGAAGAGGGGCCCAAGACCTTTAGGAGCCACCCTGATCACTCACCCTGAGGCCCAAGCCAGTAGCATAGTTGCAGGCACCTGTGCAGCTTGCAAGCCCGAGATACTGGGGCACCCTTCAGGGAGAGCCACTGTGCAGAGTATTATCCACGTCTTACCTCATCTTGGAACCGCCTCCTTAGTAATTGCAGCTCAGCAGAGTACTAGGGCCAGTGCTGGGGTTGGGGCAGGGACAAGCCCAGGCCCCTGATCTGGTAGAGCTTGGTGGACAGTAAGTGTCCCATTGTCCCAAGCTCAGCAGGTCAGGTTTGAGACTTGGTGTGTGCACTTCCACAGCCAGAAAACCAAGTACGGTCCCCAACCACATGCATGTGTTAGCTCTTCAGGAAGGAATCAAGGAATGTTGTCATGTTTTGTAGGATAAGAATGTGGCATCAGCCTGGCACCAGTGGCTCAAGCCTGTCATCATAACTACTCAGGAAGCTGAGATCTGAGGATCACGGTTCAAAGCCAGCCCAGGCAGGAAAGTCCACAAGACTCTTACCTCCAATAAACCACTCAGAAAACTGGGAGTGGCACTGTGGCTCAAGTAGTATAGCACTTGCCTTGAGCTGAAGAATTGAGGGACAGCACCCAGGCTCAAAGTTCAAGCCCCACAACCAACAACAACAAAAAAGAATGCGACAGTATGTGGTTGGTGCTGGTGTTTGGAGCTTGGACTTCAGAGGATGGGATGGAGTAGGATGCTGCAGTGTGTTGTAAGAGGTGTCTAGGAAGTAGGTGTTCGAGGACACAGCCATAGGTTCTTTAGATGTAGCATTCCCACAGAGAAGTTGTTTTGATGTATGTACTGGTACTGTCATGGGTTCAAGTGGAGGCTGGCTGCTTCTGCTTGCCTGCCCTGCTTGGGTTTTGATAAAAATGGTAGTTTTTAGTAAGGCTAGGTGAAAGTGGCTAGGCCCACTTTCAATATGTCTCATTATTCACTCAAAGAATGCCCAGTCCCATGCCCCTCTTCCCAGCCTAGTTGCCGTCTCCCTGGTGACGGCACTGGTCACCACAGAAGAACTGGGCTGCCCCAGAGCACCCAGGCCTCCAGTAGTTGTCAGACCACTGAGCAGTCTTGGGGTTCTGTTCCCTCCCACCTCTGAGGAGTCTGCCATTGGGCTGGTATTTTTAACTTTTATGTGGATAAAACGTTCATTTTGAATAAAGCAACTGGATTTGGCCGTGTTGCATTGTTTCATTCTTGTTTTCTTTTCCTATTCATTTGAAAGTCAAGAAAATGTTTGTCTGCAAAACAAGGTCTCTTAAAAGTATACTTTAATAAAACATGGAGACAAGGACTAAAATAGTGTCCATACTCTAGCCAGCGTTCCCTAGAAGCCAAAAGCCAGCAGCCTAGAGACAGTACCATCCTGCTCTGTATAATGGGTGCCTTCTTTGTCATTGACCACTAGAAGGAAATCTGTAGGCGGGACACTGGTGGCTCACACCTGTAATCCTAGCTACTCAGGAGGCTCGGATCTGAGGCCCAGGCAGGAAAGTGCATGAGACTTTTTTTTTTTGTCGGTCGTGGGGCTTGAACTCTGGGCCTGGGCGCTGTCCCTCAGCTCAAGGCGAGCGCTCTACCACTTGAGCTACGCCACTTCCGGTTTTCTGGTGGTTTATTGGAGATAGGAGTCTCACAGTCTCTCTTGCCCGGGCTGGCTTTGAACCGTGATCCTCAGATCTCAGCCTCCTGAGTAGCTAGGATTACAGGCGTGAGCCACCAGCGCCCGGCTTAGTGCAAGAGACTCTTACCTCCAGTAAACTACCAAAAAGCCAGAAGTAGAGCTGTGGCTTAAGTGGTAGAGAACTAGCCTTGAGCAAAAGAAGCCCAGGGACCGCACCAAGGCCTGAGTTCAAACCCCAGGGCTGGCGCGCGCATACGCATACACACACACACACAGAAAGTGTTCTTACAAGTCTCCAAAAGGCCCTGGGCAGAAAAAGTTTCCCCACCCTGCAAGAGTAGAGTACTTGCCTAGCATTGTCTTGAGTCCTATCCTCAGCAATGCAAAAGAAAAAGAAGTACTTTAGTATCACATTTACATCCTATGACAGTTTTAAGTGCACGCTAAGTAAACTGAACTTTTTTGTTTTTTTTAATTAATGAATTTACTTCTTGTATTGGAAGTCTCACTATGCTGCCCAGGCTGGTCTCGAATTCCTGGGCTCAAGAAATCCCCAGTAGCTGGACTAGCAGCACCATTCCTGACCTGAGCCCTCCTCCTGGTGGCTGACAAACTTCCAGCCCAGTGTTTATTTCCAGTAACTGAAGGGAGCATGAGGAGTTGTAAGGAGTTGGCTGTTGGGTTGCAGCAAGTTTATCTGTGACCCACTATTCAGCAGCAGCCCTGGGAGGATCTAGAGAACCTACAACAGCTTTCTGCACGCATTCCAGGAGGGGAAGTCGTGTGTTCACCCCAGGGGACCTGGAACTGATTTCCAGAAAGGGGGGGGGGGGGGCAGGGAGGGGCAGCTCTGGGACAAGGCGGGTGTTGGGGGCTACTGGGTCCATCCAGAAAGGGTTGCTCACCGGCCTAGGTCAGGGGTCTTGGTCCTCCAGGAAAAGGCTTTGAGGGGAGGCTAAGGGTTGAGGCAGCAGTTACACTGCCCACAGTCACCTGGCTTCCTTAAGGTTTTCCTGTCTCTGGAGGCGAGGAGTCTTCCTAGGCCAGTTTCCTAACCTTCCCCAGCCGGCACCCCTGTTTCCGAAAGGCTCTGAGATGAACTAACTACAGGGCTGGACGGATGCTGAAGACAGTCCGTCCGTGACATCCTCCCACTGCCCACCGCGTCAGGCCAGCCCACGCGAGGTTGCCTTCCGGTGCTTTCTCCAGGTTCCGGGTCTCAATGGCTAGCCTCTGAGTCCCTCCTCGGGGCGGGGCGAGCGGCAGGCTCCGCCCGTGGGCGTGGTTAGGAGGCGGGGCCTGCCGCAGGCCCCGCCCCGGGGCGGGGCGCGGTGGCGGGCGCGGCAGGCCGGCTCCCTCCAGGTCCGGGCGGGCAGGCGGGCACTCGGCGGCCAGGGCGCGATGGAGGCGCCGGCCGAGCTGCTGGCCGCGCTGCCCGCGCTGGCCACCGTGCTCGCGCTGCTGCTCGCCTGGCTGCTGGTGCGGCGCGGAGCGGCCGCGGGTCCGGAGCCTGCGCCCCCCAAACCTGCACCCCCGGCCGAGGCCAGCGGTGCAGACGCGCCGCCGCCACCGTCGCCGGGCCCCTGCGCCACAGAGCCGGCGGGGCCGGGGGAGCCCGCGGGGCCCGGGGAGCCCCCAGCGGCGCCGGCCGAGGCGGAGCAGCAGGAGGCAGAGGCGAGGCAGGTACGCACCGGGGTGCCCCCTCGGCGCCCCGCCCCGCCCCAGCGGCCCTGGGTCCTTGCCTGAGTCTCCAGGCCCCGCCGCCCGCGAGGGGCAGAGCCCGCGGCCAGCGGGAGACGAGGGTCCCGCCCGGCGGGACAAGTTGCAGGGGTGCAGACTCCTCTGGAAGCGGGGAGCCGGGAGTTTGGCTGTGTCCTTCCCTCCTGCTCCCGGCGGGGTTCGGGCTCTGGGCTGAGGGGGGGGGGAGGAGGGAGGGCGGAGGGGGGAGGGCGGAGGGGGGGATGCGAGGGAGGCCTCAGGACAGGCCTCCCACTCCGAGCTCTGGCCTTTTGCTCCGCACTCTCCTCGCACCCCTCGCACCCACCCGTTCCCCAGGCCACTTGCATGGGGCTCACTTCGACATTGGAAACGGAATCGGCTTGCTGCTTCGTAGAAGGTACTTTGGCGGGGAGGAGGAGCAAGGAAAGTTGCCTTTCCTTAGGCCAACTTGAAATCCAGACTCCAGAGTCAATGTGATGTTTTTTTTTGTGAGGTTTCCTAGGACCGGACTGAAAGAAAAGCCACTGGATTGTTGTCACCCTCCTGTTGTCCTTTCCAGGCTGTAGTAGGCTTTGGCATAGCCCCCAGCCCCACTCCCCAGGAGGTAGACAGTCTGCGCCCTGCGCCCACCCCCACCCTCCAGCCCACCTTCCCCACCTCTGCCATCAGCCAGGCCCTGACCACACTGCCTCTCCAGACATCCCCTCACCCGCTCATCCTCCCTTTCAGACAAATCTCCTTGGGTTGGAAAAGGACTGGGCTCAGGCTACCACCTCGAGACTCCGTGGGATTGTTAACACTTTGTTCTCATTCCTCAGCCTCTCAGCTTGCAGGGCACGGTATCCAGGACATGCCCTCTGCTTCCTGGTCAGTGTGTCTTGGAAAACCCACTCTGTTCTTTACTGAGCACGATGATTTATGCTGGAGAGAAGCCCTGGGGGAGATCAGAGGAGGGGCAGCCAGGCTGGGTGTCTTAGCTGAGCGAGTGTGCCAGACCCCCCTCTTGCAGGCGTTTTGCTTGACAAGTTGGTGACTAATTGTGTCATTAGAGTGGCTTCGGAGCAGTGCTGAGAAGGGCTGATGGAGTGCCCTGTGGTCCTGGCCTGGCAGGCTCCAGCCCTCCCTGGCCTTGTAGACGGCAAGTGGGGGTTTGGACCCGTGCTGTTGTGTCAGTTTTGCCTCCATGTTTGGGATTCCTGCCCTAAGGAGGCCTATGGGAACCAGAGATCTTGACTACTTTGCAAATGGCCTTGGTTCAGGGGCAGGGAGAGGACACAGAAGTATCTCCCAGAGGTAGATTTAAGGGAAGAAGTTGGTTAGAAGTGTTCTTGAAATAGACTTGACTAAATAATAATAGTAATTTTTTTAAAGAAATTAAATTTTAAGCCAGGCACTGGTGGCTCACAGCTGTAATCCCAGCTACTCAGGAAGCTGAAATAGGAGGATGGAAGTTTGAAGACATTCTGGGCAGAAAAGCCCTTGAAAGACTCCATCCTCAAAGTTATCAACAAAAAGCCAGACTGGATGTGTGGTGTGTGTAGTAAAGCACCAGGCCCTGTGCTCAAACTCTGGTATAAAATAAAATAAATTTGAGGATAAGAAAATTAAATAAAGGCCAGGCACTGGTGGCTCACACCTGTAATCCTAGCTACTCAGGAGGCTGAGATCTGAAGATCGTGGTTCAAAGCCAGCCCGGGCAGGAAAGACCGTGAGACTCCTATCTCCAATAAACCACTAGAAAACTGGAAGTGGTGCTGTAGCTCAAGTGGTAGAGTGCTCGCTTTGAGCTGAAGAGCTGAGGGACAGCGCCCAGGCCCAGAGTTCAAGCCCCACGACCCACAAAAAAAAAAAAAAAAAAAAAAGAAAATTAAAGAACTGGAGCTGTGGCTCCAAGTGGTAGAGCACTAGCCTTGAGCAAAGAAGCTTAGGGACAGTGCCCAGGCCCTGAGTTCAAACCTCACAACCAATGAAAAATTTATAAAAGAATGATTATAGTTTAGCTAGGCACCGGTGGCTTATGCCTTTAATCCTAGCTACATAAGAAGCTGAGTTCTGAGGATTGCAGTTCAAAGCCATCCTGGGCAGGAAAGTTCATGAGACTTATCTCCAACTAACTACCAGAAAACTGAAAGTGGCGCTGTGGCTCAAATAGTAGAGTGCTCACCTTGAGCTGAAGTGCTCAGGAACAGCCCCCAGACCCAGAGTTCAAGCCCTATGACAAAAAGAAGAAGAGGAAGAAGAAAATTAAACAAAATAAGTTTAAAAAAAAAAAAAAGAGGGCTGGGAAGGTGGCTCAGTGGTAGAGTGCTTGCCTCGCATGCATGAGGCGCTGGATTTGATTCCTCGGCACTACATAAGCAGAAAAAGCCAGAAATGGCGCTGTGGCTCAAGTGGTAGAGTGCTCGCCTTGAGCTGAAGAGCTGAGGGAAAGCACCCGGGCCCAGAGTTCAAGCCCCACAACTTACCAAAAAAAAAAAAAAAAATAGTATTTCCAAGAATTTACAATGCTTTTTTCCTACTACCACACTTTCAGAGCTGGGAGGCCAGGCAGGAAGAAGGCCTTCTGGGGAAAACAAGTGAGTCAGGTTGGCATAGGAAAGGAGGAGATGCCCTCATCCAGCCTCCGTTACAGTCCTTCCATGAAGGCTGAAGTCTGGGAGGAAGTCAGAGCCCCCAGAGAGCAAGGCTTACTTAACTCGCCTCTTCCTCCCTCCCTCCCTCCCTCTTTGGTTTCCATTAACCGATTCCCTTCTAATCTGATCCTCTTCTTTCCTAGTGGGCCCTGGGCAGTCTGGGGCAGCTGCTGCCTCTGATTCACAAAGCTCATTATTGAGAAGCAGCCTCCAGCTGCTGCGGAGGCTCACTGGGGCCGCCAAGGGCGGAGCAGTAGGAAGGGGCCTGGGGGGGGAGGGGAGGGGTGCTGAGGTCCTAAGTGCCCACTGAAGGAATGGGGATGAGATCATCAAAGCCCAGTGGGCAGATGGGGCTCCTCCCAGCACTGGGCACCCAGGGCAGGGATGCTGGGAAAAGGCACAAGATCCTGCAGAGAACTGTGAGCCAACCATGCCCAGGACCTGAGCTGGTACTGCCACACCTCTTACCTGATGACATCAACCCTGTATTTGTATCCCAGGGTCCCCCAACAGCGGCCATGGACAAAGATTAAGGTCATCAGACTTGTTGGCACTGAGGTCCTACCTCTAATTTGAAAATACAGCTGGAAGCCAGGCGCCCATGGTTCACGCCTATAATCCTAGCTACTCAGGAAACTGAGATCTGAGAATCTGAGGTTTGAAGCCAGCCCAGGCAGGAAACTACAGGAGACTCTTATCTCCAATAAACTATTCAAAAAAGCCAGAAGTGGCGTTATGGCTTAGAGATAGAGTGCTTGTCTTGAGCAAAAAGCAGCTCAGGAACAGCATACAGGCCCAGACCTTAAGCTCCAGAACTGGCCAAATGCAGTGTCACAGACCTGTAGACCCAGCTAGTTGTGAGGCTGAGATCAGGGGATCATGGCCCAAAACTATCCAGGACAGACAAATCCATGAGGCTCTAGCTCTACCTAACTAGCAAAAAACCTGAATTGGAGGCTTGACTCAAATGGTAGTACACTAGCCAATCTTGAGCAAAACAGCCAAATGGAAAAACCAAGCAAGAATATGAGGTCTGAGTTCAAGCCCAGTATTGGGGAGTGCGCACGCACGCACGCGCACACACACACACACACACACAGAGGGTGGGAGGGAGGAAAGGAAGAAGGAAGGAGGAGAGAGAGAGAGAACAAACTAGGAACCCAATGCAGTGTCATAGGTCTGTGGTCTCAGCATTTGGGGTGGCAGGGAGGGGACTTAAGTAGAAGTTCAGGAGTTCAAGGCCAGCCTGGGCAACATATCAAGATCCCATATGAGGGTCTAGGAAGGTGGCTTAGTGGTAGAGTGCTTGCCTTGCATGCATGAGGCCCTGGGTTCCATTCCTCAGCACCACATAAGCAGAAAAAGCTGGAAGTGGCGCTGTGGCTCAAGTGGCAGAGCACTAGCTTTGAGATGAAGAGCTGAGGGACAGTGCCCAGGCCCAGAGTTCAGGCCCCACGATCGACAAAGAAAGAAAAATGATCTAAAGTAGCTTCAGTCCTAGAGTAGGGATTTTTTTTTTTTGTACCAGGCAGCTGGTTGATGGCTTAAACACACACAGACTGGATGACTCTTCTAGATTACAGGAGACAATTAAAAAAAAAAAAAAAAGCAATGTGACAGATAAATGCAATCTTGATCCTGTAGATTCTAGATTGGATTGGAGGTAGGGCACTACAAACGACATTTGGGAGATAACAGATTTTTTTTTCCTCCAGTCTTGGGAATGGAGCCAAGGGTCTTACATAGGGAGTCAGGCTCTAACCACTGAACCGCCTTCCTAGCCCCAAGTCATATTTTAAATGAGGGATGTATTAGATAATTGTACTGAATCTGTGCTGAATTTCTTCCATGTGGTGCCAAGTGTTCTGGTTATACAGAAAAAATGTCTTTGTTCTTAAGAAGGTTCTGAAATACTTAAGGATGATATGTCATGGTTCAGTGACACCATGTTCGGGTACTTTTCAATAGGTTTGGAAGTTTTCACACATACAGATATAACTTCGGAAAACAACAGGGGTTGGAGACATGGCTCCACAGTAGAGTGCTAGCAAGTGAGCAAAAGCATCAGGTATGGAGTCTGAGTCCTGGTCTGCCCACCACCCCAAAAAGAAAGAAAAAAAAGAAAGGAAGGAAGGAAGATTGGGGAAAAAATAAACAATAAAGAATTTCTCAGAAAGAGCTTAGAGTTTTGTTTTTTGGGGGGTACTTTGATGGTGGTGGTTGTGTAATGGATAGACAGCAGCCTTTGTCCATCTATCTGTCTGACTGTCTGTCTGGTTTGCTACTCAAGGGCCTGTCTTCTCAAGTCCTTCTGCTTAGGATCCCCCATGT